TTTTACTTTCTATGCCATCCTGTTATTCTAATCTCAGGGTAGAGCATTCTTTTTTCCCCACTGTCAATCTGCCATAATAATTAGAGAGAAAATATGAAAATCTTCAAATAAAAAAAAAAAAACCCTTTCTCATGAATACATACCATCTGCAAAAAGATAGCATTTTGAAATAGTGTGTGAATTACGCAGTACATTTGAAAACAAGAACTATATTCACTGTACATTCCTGCATGATGAGCAGTTTTATTCGTCAAATTTTCAAAAGAAAATTATTAGCTTTGTAAAAAAAAAAAAAAAAGAAAAAAAAAAGAAATTAAAATAAATATATAAAAAAAATAGAATTCTGCAATCCGACACAAACAGAGCAGGATGACTGTTTCCTAAAGCCACAGAGAAACCGTTAGGTTTAATTGCTTTTATTAATGACTGAATTCATTATGAAAACCCCGCTTAACTGAAAAGCTGACACCATACAAAGTCTTACGGAGCTGTGGAGCTTTAAGAAAGAACATCTGTTCCATTAAATCTAACACACATTTTTCAAAGCATTCAGTGATGCTAGGTATACAGTAGATGCTTTTGCCAGTCTTCAAACAGCTGTTTTTTTCCCCCAGGATATGCATGTTCGCAGCCATACCCAGGAAGGCCAAATATCTCCAGTAAATCTCTGAGGCTACGCATGTTAAAAGCTATCAGGAGGAAACATCTTTGATTATAATTAGAAAGCACCTCTCCACCTTTGTTTTCCCTGTTTACTGCCGGCGTGTAAATTATTTAATGTATAAAACATCTATCTTATCATCTACTATTAATATTTTAGATGATTTGTAAATAGCCTCAACTTCTAATTGGTGATAATTCCCACTGACATAATTGAAACTGACTGATACTGAGGTATAGGCAGTTCTCTATAATAAATCAACTCCCTGTCTGGTTTGAAGCCTGTTTCATAAGGCTATGGTAACGCAGTGCATGTTTTGCCCTCAGTACTAAAACAAACAGCTCAGCAATTCACAAATTATATTTTTCAAACTGCCTTAAAATATATTTTAAAAAAAATAATATATATATTAAAATTGTCTGGCACCCTGATTATACTGCCATCTGTATTTCTTCTTTAACCATTTAAGCTATACTGTGCATTCTCAAGCACTCCTGGTGATATATACTTTAGATACCTGAAACTCTCTGAACATATGGGACTACGTCTACAGTGAATTCAGGCATAGATGTATCAGACCATCATGTTTTGTAGGACGCATTTTTCCGGAAGGGTGAGCTGGGGGACGGGGGTTGAACAGCTGGATTTACGTTCTATGTTTGTTATAGATACCAATGGAAAACTGACAGTATGAACCTTTTTTTATGTTCATATTTGGGGTTGGCATAAGGATATTTTTTGGATAAAGCTTAGACAAAGCCCACAAAGACATGAACACAGGCAGCAAGGAGAATTGAAATAAGAATAAGTAAAGACTTACTGTAATAGCCAGCAATATGGACCAGACTAGCAGGTTAGATAAATTCAAACTCTCACCCGGAGTTAGAAATAATGTAATTTCTATTGTGGAGACAAAAAAAATAAAAACAAAAATATCAGTTTTACACAAAACACTTACACCATTAGTACCTTAACTTTGAGTATGAAACCAAGAAGTGTGATTGTTGCACCATGATATCTCTTGTGTCAGATGCTTTGCTCAAACAATATCACCATGACAGTGACCCACACAGCAGGTTCATACATTATCTGCAGAAATCAGTAATGACTTAAAAGTCAAAGAGTTTTATAGATTAATGTTATAAATTTGTTGTTTATTGAACCTCTCCTAATTCCTTGAAATAAATGTTAGTCCTGGTGCTTAAACAACAAAGGGTTCTCCAGTTTTGAATAGATCCAAGAGGCTTAAAATCATGCTCACTTATGTTTATCCCAGTCAGTTTCATTATTATAAACAATTTTAGTTGCTCTCCCTATGAAAGTCAGCGGTAGGTATTGCCATCTAGAAAGGAAATCTGTCACCTCAGCCAAAGCTGGTGTCATTTTGATTCTATATATAGTAGACATTTACTTTGGTATTAGATATTTAAAGTTCGACGTTGTCCATGTTAGGGTTTTTGGTGTCTGTGACTGTTTTGGTACACCTGGACCTAATCTCAGGGCTGTGGATTTGGGCTAGTTAATTTGAAAACCTGTTATCGAGCCATATCTATCAAAAAGAGTAATTGGGTTGGGAAGGGTCGGTTGCAAGGTATGAGAGGTATAGTAAAAGATCTGCAAAACCTAGAAGTTTAATCGAGTGCAGGCTCAATTATATTCAATTTATATCTTCTGAAAACTAAATGAATCTGACGAGTGGGTCAAAAGCTAGATTTAAAAAATAAAAAAGGTGATAATGGGCATCCCTGTTTCACCGCTCTCATAATTACAAGGCCTTTTAATCTAGGCCATTAGTGTTCATTTTTATGGATTGTTGAATGTATAGGATTTTCAAGAAATTATCGAAAGGATTTCCAAAAATGTGGAAGCCAGGATTTTCTAGTAATCGATAGTAAACCCATCGGTTACTTTCTGCCATTCCCATCTTTATTGCCAGCGTTTCTTCCTCCTGCCTAATAGGGGCATTAAGAATCTCTCTTAGGTTGTTGGTTAATCCAGGTGGGTTTGCTCCTTTAATTAGTTGTATTCCTCATTTAGGGCCGTCTGGTTGCGAGGCAAATATGTTTGAATTTTTTTTTTAGCAATGTGTGTTATTCAGTTGCTTCCTGGTTTGGGTTGTGTTAGATCCAAAATAATCTTTACCATTTGCTCTCTCCAGCACAAAAAAAAATGTTTTTTTGAGAATTCTAATTGTTTTTTAGCTTTTCCAACAAAAAGGAATCTAAAAGTTGTTTTGCCTCCACATAAACTTGTTTCTTTATTGCATCAGTTGGAGTAGCGATGTATGTTAAGTGAGTGCCGATTCGGTGTTAAGTTTGTCGTATTTTTATTCCATAGATTTTTTTACAATTGGAAATATATACTCTGATCTGGCCTCTCATCAGTGCCTTTGAATTATTTAGTGTGTATATATTGACCAAAGTATAGCGGGCATTAGCTTGAGTAGCACCTCGTTTAAAAATATTCCCTCTGGGTTTAGAATTTGTTTGTGAACAATTGGAGTAATATATTTGTTGAGTAATATGACAATCCCTCTGGAGTTTGAGCGGTAAGGGGCCGAAATACACATTTTTTTCAAATGGGTTTCCTGGAGGAATACTACTTGGGGGTCATGCTTACAGATTTGGGATAATACAAGCTCACATTTGGTTTGGGTAATAAGGCAGTTTATTTTCCAATATGGTCATTTAAGCTTCTGCATCTTAATTAATGCAACATCCTTACAGTGTCAATTTAATAACAATCAACATTTTTACGTTTTTTTAAAGAGGTTGTCTTATCAGAATCTGTAGCTATTGTTAAACAAAAAGTCCCGTGTGTTTGTTTTTCTTTTATTTGAGGGAAGAGAGAATATTTAAGGATATAATTAATATGTATGCGAACAGGTAATTCTTGATCCATTTTATTCATTTCTTTCTTTTTTTTTTTTTTTTTTTACAAGATATATCCCAAAAGAAAGCATGCATACTTATTTCTTCCTGTATGTTTTCTTTGCGGGTATATGAAAAAAAAACCACCTCGGAAAAAATATGCAGGCCTACTGTCTGTAGCCTTTGCAAACCTTCCACTCTTTCCTATCACAGCTTTTATTCTGTGCTAGGGAAAACAGAAGCCTCTGTACTGGAGCTGCCAGTAGGTGTGCACCCACATGTGGCTTTTCAATGCTTTTCAATGAGTTGCACTACTGTTAAGGGGAAGGCAGCCCTACTCTAGGTTAGCATATATACCACGTCCGTTAGCTCCACAGACAATACCTGCCCAGCTGCCCAAGTGGCAGCCTTGGAGTCATTTCTGCCCCAAGTTATAAAAGTCTGGAATGTTTCTATAAGATTAACTTGAAGAAAATAATGGTAGAGGAAAGGGAACTGTAATTTCTCTACATTTATACCATTCAATAAAATGTCCCCTACAAGTTGGGTTAACCATTTTATGAGATGGTCCTTTCTAAATTTATATTAAAAATTTAGCAAATTAAATAATAATCCAGTTCAGACAAAGATAAGGCACACTATGCAAATGAAGAGGAGAAATAGAAACATAGTTAATTATTTTCCCTTCTCCTTATTCTTCCTGCCAGTGCCAAAGGGCATTGCTTATAACAATGATTAACAGGCAGCTAAGATGGAGGCACCCAGTGGCAGGATAAAAGGGTTTTAATTTCTACATTTAATTTTCATTTTCACACCTCACAAATACATATTTTTTTCATTATAAGGATATCTTTAATACATTTTTATTTGTAATTTTTTTTTTGCAGTGCATAGAGATATAACAAACCAGCATGTGGTACCCCAACAGCAATCCACAGGCTTTTCAAGAAACAGTTATAGCAGTAAGGTACACGTTAATACTTGCACAATTTTTTATATTAAAGATTAAACGTATGGTTGGTAAGCTGATTATTCAACTTGGTATGCTATGATTTAAACATGCTTATACAAGTCGGGTAGGTTGTTCAGAAGGATCTAGTATAACTAGCATAGCATGGTATTATTATGGGCTTAACATCGGAATATACAGAAGGTGCTGCATAGGAAGTGAGAGGTGGAGTGGAACCATCGCTATTGCCTGCCAGGTAGGAATATGGGGGGTGAGATTGAGGCATGAGTATGTTCCCAGATTCAACAGTCTGCTCAGCCAATGCCCTGCAGGGGTTGAGGGCCCTTGAGTCCAGTTGGGTTGGGCTTTGCTCTCCGGGTAAGTCCTCTGGGCATTGCCCTGTTGCTAGGCATTAGTGCGGCGTTCCTCTGTTCGCGGTAGGTGTCGCAGGGAGCTGGGCTGAGATCGGAGCTGGCAGCTCGTTGGGAGCAGGGTGAGTCCACCCTCCTGCCCCAGGCCAGTGGCAAGGCTGACATCTTGGGTCCACAGACCCGGCTTTCATGAGGGGTCGAGTCTTTCTCCCTGTGGGAGTGGCGGGGGTTCTGGTGGTCGGCCGCTGGGTGCGACGGCGAGCCCTCCTCCTTCGTGGGCTATGTCTCGGGGTTGTGCCTCAATTGGCCTCTGGCCTGGGTAGGCCAGTAGTAGGAGACACAGGCTTTTGTGAGATCGCTGGGCCCGAGGGGGTCTTCCGTGCCTTCCGGCTCTCACCTTTCCGTTCTGTCTCCCGTGCTTGTGCCGGTTTGATTATGCTGCAATACTGCAGGGCTTCCCGGCGTTGTGGAGGTGCGGGTGGGTATAGTTTGCTTTGTATTTGCTGCCAAAATTCTTGAAAGTGTCTGTCCAGCCGGGTGAGTATGTTGCTGGAATGCGGGAGCCATGCTTCCTCCGCTATGTTGACGGGGCTGCGAGTTTGCAGGTCTGCTCTTGCAGTTAGTCCCCTTGGTTGCGTGTGAGTCAGCTCTCCTGGCGGGGGTCGGGGTGTAGTGTCTGACCTGGCAGACCTATGTCTGGGTCGCAAGGTTGAGTTACATGCTTCGGGCATTTCGGAGGCCCTCACCCCTGTATTGCATGAAGAGGTCACAGGCTTATTCGAAGGGTGCGGGGTTCTCCAACTGGCGGGGACCAGGATGTCCCCCACCGGTCCATGGGGGGGAAAGTAGTGTTCCCAGCTTACTTTAGGCTGTGTGCGTCTGGCGGGAAAGCAGCCGCCTTTCTCCGCCGCCTCCTTCGGTAGGCCCCAGTCTGCTGAAGCGGTGCCCGGTTGTCCTGGACATCGGTTTGGTATCTCTCGGTTTGGGCCAGTCTCCCCAGTCCAGTGAGCCCACTTGCAGGAGGGTGAGTGCACTTTAGCCCGATTTGTCCATCGTTTTTAAGCTTGGTGAACAGGAGCTAATACAGAGCATATCTTCTCTGCTCGCTGGTCTGGCTCCGCTCTTTAATAAATGATGCTCATCACAGTCATAAACCTCACTTAATACAAAAATTTCCGCAGTCAGTTGTATTGCCTTCATTTTTACATATATGCTATCGGCATACGTGTTGTACCCTGATTGATGAGTCAAATGCTATGTTCACCTTGACTCTGCCTGCAGCAAAAATAAAGAATTAAAAACAAAAAAATTACAATCATCAACAAAAAGATGAACACATCCCCACCCTACTCGAAAAAAAACAATCATCTGTAAAATGGAAAAAATTTAAATGTGTCCACATGATGTCACTGTTTCTCTTCCAGAACATGCACAAGTATTTTTTTTTTTTTTTAAAGTCTGAATGTGAAGTGAACTTAAACACTTTCCTTATAAGGGGCAATTAATGTGCACATCATGCTGTCTGCTTCACTGCAAAAGTAAGGAATTATCTCCCTACCTTCAAAACATCAGTCGGAGCTATGTTCTCCACTAAATCTGTGTGCGACTACTTTAGAAAAACAAATTTAAAAAAATCTGTTTCATTAATTGTAGGCTCTAAAAAAATAATTCAGATACCTTCAGCATTTATATAGAGTTTCCTAGTTGTTGTACATTAATATTAAGAATTGTATAGTACAAAAACATTTTTAATTTAGTTTAGGGATAGTCTTTTCCGGTTTTTTTCATCATGACTATTAAAATCGTAAACTGTCGCTGAAATAGTTACTGTTTATATTTTAAGCAATATGTCAGCAAAGGGGTTAATTATTGGTTTGATTCATGATTGTGATATGTTTGAGATAACAGAATCCTTGTAGATTGATACCAAAGACTGTCTGAGCATGAAACTAGTGAGGCAAAGATACAGTACCTCTCAATGCCACAAAATAAATGGAACGTGGTTTAGAAAAAAAATAATATATTGTGATGCTCAGAATTGGTCGTTAATGTACCTCTTACGAAAGCCACTGAAAATAGATTATTCTGGAACACTTTGATAAATCTCCCATTGTATCTTGGTCATCAGGATCATATTTTTATAAATAACTCTCTAGGGAGAATTATCCTCCTTCCTATTACATTTCTTACCTATTACTCTCCTATTTAATTTCTTCTTCATCCCTTTATATCCCTTTCTATTAATTTTCCAAATTCTTGTTATCCCTGTTATGTTTTTCGGTATTCTTTTTCAGTGTGAATTATGAGGTGGTTCTGGCTAGAAATATCATATATTGAGTGCAAATTAAATAATAACTGGCATATTTTTTATATTTAATATACCCCTTTTTCCTGGATTTGATTCAGAGTTCACTGATGACTGTCATGACCCTGAAAATAAAAATTAAATATTTTTCTGTCACCGGTACTAATTGCATTTTCCAAAACTGAAAACCAAAGCTGAACATTTATAAATAAAACTAGTGTATTCTATTTAATGAATAAAAATGATTTATTTAACAGAAGAGCACCACAGATGACATGGAAGCAGAAAATATTACCATACAATGCATGTGTATGATAGTAAGTGGAGCAGGTTTGTAAATACCACTAGGGTACAATAAAGTTTTTTGTATTTTTTTAAAATCTTCATTAATACACGTGGCACTGGTAGTATGAGACACATTCTGTCACTGTCTGGACGCATTCTGTTATGGGCTTCTTACATGCCCCTATTAATGAGCTTTATCAAACTATCTTGGGGCAATCTGTGTCTATATGGTCATTGTGTTGACTTGTCCAACCCCCCTGGGCAGAAACTGGCTATCCTGGCTTTCTACTAGTGGCTTGTTTTGGCAGCAATATATGTTTAATCTAATTGGGGTTACTATGTTAGAGCTCTAGCCTCTGTTTAATTAAATCTTGCCCAGCTCCAACCTCTCACATCTGGAGATTTTTGGAAGATGCTAATGTGCAGAGATAGTTGGGTAGCTCATTGACATCACTTGTGTGCACATCCAGAGCCTTTGCACACCTTTCATACAATTGTACTTTACACTATACATGCACGTGTGTATATTTCAGTCATCTACACTGGCGTATCTCCTGCTTGCCTTCAGTCTAAAGGAAAGCAATGAGAGATTGAACCAGAAGGATGTATTGTAGGCGCTTTGGGCAGGCCATCTAAGAATGGAGAGTGAGAGAACACATTTTATGCTTATTTACTTAAGTGAGAATTCAACGTGTGTTCAAATGGATTTAAAATTTAAGGACATAGTAGCCAAACGAAAAGACTGGTTTATAGAATTTTTCCAGTTTGGTTCTTTTGAACTTAGATTTGATATTCACTTTGAACTCACACAGAATTCTCATTTTAATAACTTTAATAACCCACCAAAAATGTAGCGGAAGCAAGTTTGTGCTTCCCAAACAGCAGAATGCGGGAGTCTTACAGCTAGTGTAACACCCTCATGATTGCTGCTCTAAGCTGGAGACAGGGGTAACGGAAATAAATGGAAATATGAGATTTTAATAGTTTTAAGGAAAAAAACATATTGTATAACAAGAGTCAAGCTAGATGGTTAGCAAACTGCAAACCTCTACCTGTCACGACAGGTTCACTTTGAACCAGTGCAACTTCAGACCAAGTGGGGAGACTCGCTACGTCTTGCTTTATGCTGTGGATGCTTACCTGTGGTACAGGTGTTTTGGTTATGGTATGATAATATTAATTATAACATAATAAAAAGATTGGAATCAGCAAGACGTGTCGCCCTGCTTTTACAGACTGCAGTGTATAATTGCGCAACTAGAATGTTTGTAAATTATACGAATCTTTGAATCATTCCAGGATCAGCCTTATATTTCAAAGAACAGGAAAAGTACATCTGTGCCTTGACGTGCGCTACGCTGACTTTTTCAATTGCTCTATAAGTAAGGGCAATTTCCTGCATTGTTGTTTATGGGATCTGTTTACTGGAGGTCCCAGCTGCAAACCAGAAAAATGTAAAAACTCAGTTACGTGTTTATTAAAGAACAATAGAATGTTTGCATTCATTTTGTCCAAGTTTGTGTAGCATAGAGAGATAAAAACCATACAGAATACTTTACAGGAAAAAAATGTGGATATAATAAAAACACTTTTTTATAGGCAACATATCTGGATTTTAAAGTCTAAATAAATATGTTATGGTTTTAAAGGGAGAGATAACAATTTAAAATAGGAAATAAAAAGACACCCAAAAAGTACAGTGGAAGAAGAATCAAGGGATAACATACAGTTATTTAAGACTAAGTAAAAAAAACAAAAACCATACCAGACAAAAGATGGCTGAAAATTCAACAATCTTTATTAGACAACAGAAACATATTAAAATCCCAGCATACACAATTCAAAGCAAAATTATTATTTTTTTAAATCACAAAGTGTGAGTGTGATTATATGACAAGAAACATATCAAAAACTTCTGTCCAAAAAGGTCCAACCCTTATTAGAGTCTACCCTAATTACTAGATGCAGCTACAATAACTATTACATCCAAATAGATATTATAAGCTGCCAAACATCAAAACTGCAAGTATTTATTCACTAAATGTTCATTTGGATAGGTGGTCAAAAGGCCAAGAGAACAAATTGTGAAGCTCGAATACTGGACTGGCATTCCCTAAACATAATAGTACATGTGTGATATGTACGATGCATATGCTGTTTTAAGGCGTGAGATTTAGAAAATAAAATATGAACATATTGTGTGAGGCATGTCACTGTATTTAATGTCTTTCTATTTTTTATATTCTTTCTTTGTAAAAGTCTTTATTTCTTTTTTCTTTTTACTCAGGTCGTTCCTTTCTACCAGTTTCTCAAAATCCTTTTTATATACTCCAGTGCACATGGCTGGGAGCTCTGTAATATCCCAGTACACACTGCACATTACTGGGGACTCTGTAATATCCTAGTACACCCTGCACATTACCGGGAGCTCTGTAATATCCCAGTACACACTGCACATTACTGGGGGCTCTGTAATATCCCAGTACACACTGCACATTACTGGGGGCTTTGTAATATCCCTGTACACCCTGCACATTACTGAGGGCTCTGTAATATCGCAGTACACTCTGCACATTACTGGGGGCTCTGTAATATCCTAGTACACCCTGCACATGGCTGGGGGCTCTGTAATATCACCGGTACACACTGCACATTACTGGGGGCTCTGTAATATCCCAGTACACACAGCACATTACTGGGGGCTCTGTAATATCTCAGTACACACAGCACATTACTGGGGGCTCTGTAATATCCTAGTACACCCTGCACATGGCTGGGGGCTCTGTTATATCCCAGTACA